TGTGTGTGTGTGTGTGTGTGTGTGTGTGTGTGTGTATGCTTGCACCCGTTGGGAGCAAGGGAAGAAAAATTGGTAGCAGGGCTCCTATCTCCATTTCCTCATCTCTAGAGACTTCCCTTTTACCGCCCCCCCCATCCCACTTTCATCCAGGGACTCTACCAGCTGAGGGGTGAGGAGGTAGAACTGACCCTGCCCCAATCCACCCCTCTCCCCATTTCCCCCCCACCCCAGCAAGGCTTCCTGAGCCGGAGGCTAAAAAGCTCCATCAAACGCACGAAGTCACAACCCAAACTTGACCGGACCAGCAGCTTTCGCCAGATCCTGCCTCGCTTCCGAAGTGCTGACCATGACCGGTACAGGGGCTGGAGTGGGCGGGATGAGCTGGATGCAGCACAGGGGACTCTTGGGTGAGATTGGAGGGAAGGAGGCTATCTAGGTGCAGAGAATGAAGGCCGTGGATTGGTGAATTGGTTGAGAGATGTTATGGGACAAGGGACAGAATGGAGAAGAGGAAGCAGGAGAGAGGCACGGTGCAGGGAGAGGACAAGCTGAGAGGCAGGAAGAGAATGAAGGTGAGGCCAAGGAGGGACTCTCCTGGTCACCAGAAGGATGGGCTCCATCCCCGGATTGAAGGAGCTGTACGGGACAGAGGAGGAGTAATGGAGCCTGGGAGCCTGGGAAACACTGAAGGAATCCAGGGAAGGGGTGGTGGGTTGGTAGGAGAGCGAGCAGTGTGATCTAGGAGAAGGGTGTGAGGGAATGGCAGCAGTTGGAGTGGGGCTGGGGCCGGCAGATACTGATGGATGAGGGAAGGGCAGCAGAAAGCCTGACAGAAAGGGGAGGCTTACACAGGTATGCAGGTTGACAGAACTGGGAGGGGAAGCTGTAGGGTTAATCGTGGAATGAAGTATGAGGCAGAAATCCCTCTGAGAAGTCCAGGGGGCACTGTCTCTGAGACTGGGGTTGCAGGAGATCTGATATTTGCTTCTGTTGTCTGCCTCTTGGGGTCCCTCTTTGGGTTTCCCCCTCACCCAGTCTCTCCCCAGGGAGAACCCTGTCCTCCCTTTCCCCCCATGTCTGGCCGCCCCCAGGATTGGGCAGGTAGGGAGGTTGGGATAGGTGAGTCACACCTTCCCCTACCCCCCTCCTATGTCACCAGAGCTGGATTGGGGCCTGGGGGGGGGGGGCGGTGAGGGCATGGTATTCCTGGCCGCGGGGGCGGGGGGCCGGGGGAGCGTCGCGCTGACGGCAAAGGAGCCCAAGATGACGGGGCTGCTATAAATAGCCTCATGGAGGCTCCCACACCCGAGCTCTCCCTCCCGCTTTCCCGCTGCTCTCCACTCTTCCTCCCCTAGCCATCTCCCAGCCGTTCACTATCCCATCCCTCTGTGTTGTGTGCCACGTCCTCCATTCCCTCAGTCCCCTTTACCTTCTGCTCTCTGGTGTGGTCCCTGCTTGTCCCCCACCTCTGTTCCCACGCCCGTCTTCCCAGCTGCTCCTCATCTTCTTCCATCATCGGTCTTTCCGCACGTGGCTTGGCCTCCCCCTTCTCCCTCCTGCCCTACCTCCTCCTCTTCCCCAGGCCCCATTTTCAATCTCTTCCTTCTCACTTCTCTGCCCACAGCTTTCTCCTATTGCTTGTGATTTCCCCTCCCTCCTTCCTCTGATTCTGCTAAAACTTGTCCTCTGCTTTCATTCATTCATTCTTTGAATCATTACATGTTTTTTAGGTACTAGCTGTGTGCCGGGCCCAAATAAACATTTTCTTTGTATTTCTGGTTCTTTACTCCTACTTTTCCCCCTGATGTTGAGGCTCTGATTTGGGGGGTGGGGGTGGTCACCTAAAAGTGCCCCACACCCACCTGTTCTCTTTGTTTTTGTTTTTGTTTTCCTTTCTGCCATGGTCCATTTCTGGGCTGAGGTATTTCCAGGTGTCCCCAGTCCTCACAACCCCTTAGGTGTGAATTGCGGGCTAGGAGTTTCTTAAAGGGTCCTGGCTTCTCTCATTTTCCTCATGTCTTTCTGTCTGTGTCTGTGTGGGAAGGGGGCTCAGGGGACTCTTTCCCCAGGTCCCTACCCTAGAGCTAGCCCCTGGGTGTGTAAGAAGAGTGGGGCCCTGACCCTGTCATCGGACCCTTCCCTGCCAGGGCCCGGCTGATGCAGAGCTTCAAGGAGTCACACTCGCACGAGTCTTTGCTGAGCCCTAGCAGTGCGGCCGAGGCCTTGGAGCTCAACTTGGATGAAGATTCCATTATCAAGCCAGTGCATAGCTCCATCCTGGGCCAGGAGTTCTGTTTTGAGGTACTGGGTCTCGCGGACTGAGGAGGGCAGGAGTGATGGAGGGTGAGGGCACGGAGGCCTGACGAAGGTAGCACAGGTGGGGATGGTGAGGAAACAGAAACCTCTGGGGTTGAAAGAAAGGAGGGCAGGCCAGGGAGGAAGACACAGTGATGGAGTCTCCAGTCTTAGGAGTCACCTCCCCTCTGGAGCCCCATCTCAACCCCCATCCCTCTCTAGGTAACAACGTCTTCAGGGACAAAATGTTTTGCCTGTCGTTCTGCCGCCGAGAGGGACAAATGGATCGAGAACCTACAACGGGCAGTAAAACCCAACAAGGTATCGGGAGTAAAGGAGACCCAGACAGCATGGGCAAGGCAAAGGTCAAGCCACGGGGGAAGCCGGGGGCCTGGGGGGCAAGATGAGCTCTAAAGGAAAGGGAGGCTTGGAGAGGAGGGGATCTGGGTGAGCAGGAGGTGACCCCCACTTGTTTCTCAGTCCCCCCATGTCTTTTTACCATTCCTCCTACCTTGTGATGTTTCTTTGCCATAGAAGTCACAGACTTCCAAAGCCGATTTGTCTTCCCTGGGGGCAGCAACGCCCCACCAACACCCTGGCAGTGGTCGCCTAGCCCCTGCCTGCAGCGTTCCTGCACAGCTACAGTTGTCAGCTAGCCAAGTCTCTAGACCTCAGTTTCCTCTCCGTAGAGCTGGTGGGAATGGGGTTTAGATGGGGATTCGATGACCTCTAAAGTCCCCTCTGGCTCAGAAATTCTACAGTCTGTGTTCTTCCCAAGGCTTCTCTTTCCCAGGAGACATGCTCCCAGTTCCCTCAGCTATTCTCGAATCCCAGTTTCCAGTGAGCCCACAGTCCTGGTGACCCTCCTCCAGGGGGGCCCTTGTTTTTCATTGTCCTTAATTAGACCCTACTTGCTGGATACAGTCTAACGCGTGCAGAGTCCGAACGCCATGCTTTCTTCTTACTGTGACTGTGACATCTCCCGGGCTTCACTATGACCTTGTGGTCCATTGTATCCTCAAGGCCCTTTCATGCTACATGTAGCCTCCCCCATCCTGTATTTATGCAGCTCACTTTTTCTGTTTTTGCAATCAACTTCTGATTGTCTTTGGAGGACTCCCCAGTTCTTCCCTTCAAATTCCACCTTATTTTTGGTTTATTATTCTAGCTTTTGAAAATTTTCCCAATGCTGATTCTGTTGTCTGGTGTATGAGCTGCCATCTGCATTCGTTTTCTAGGGCTGCCGTAACTAATTACCACCAATTAGGTCACTTAAAACAAAAGAAGTTCATTCCTTAACAGTTTGGGAGACTAAAAGTCTAAAATCAAGGTGTTGGCAGAACTTTGTTTCCTCTGAAGCTCTAAGGGAGAATCTTTCCCTGCCTCTCTTGTTTTTGCTTTTGTTTTCTTTTTTTCTTTCTTGCCTTTTAGCTCCTGGGGTTGCCAACAATCATTGGCATTCCTTGACTTACAGCCGCACCTGTCCAATTTCTGCCTCCGTGTGTTTCTGGTCTCTAAATCTCTCTCCATACAGATATGAGGCATTGGATTTAGAGCCCGCTCTAATCTAGCATGAACACATCTTAATATGAGTGTACCTCATATTAAGGTGGACCCTTTTAAGGGACCCATATTAAGGTGGACCCATATTAAGTGGACCCTTTTCCCAGTTAAGGTCACGTTCATAGGTTTCAAGTGGACATGAATTTTGGAAGCAGGATACTAGTCAACCCAGTACACGTACTCTCAGCCTTCCGATTGCTATCTCAGAGACTGTCTGTCACTTTCTCACTGTCTCTCCCCTTTTGGTGTCTCTGTCTCTCTCTCCCTTCCCCTTTATCCGCCATGCCCACCCCACCCCACCAGGACAACAGCCGACGGGTGGACAATGTGTTGAAGCTCTGGATCATAGAGGCTCGGGAGCTACCCCCCAAGAAGCGGTACTACTGCGAGCTCTGCCTGGATGATATGCTGTATGCCCGCACCACCTCCAAGCCCCGGTCGGCCTCGGGGGACACCGTCTTCTGGGGCGAGCACTTTGAGTTTAACAACCTACCGGCTGTCCGCGCCCTGCGGCTACATCTGTACCGTGACTCAGACAAAAAGCGCAAGAAGGACAAGGCGGGCTACGTTGGCCTGGTGACTGTGCCCGTGGCCACCCTAGCTGGGCGCCACTTCACAGAGCAGTGGTACCCCGTGACCCTGCCGACAGGCAGTGGGGGCTCCGGGGGCATGGGGGGTTCAGGAGGGGGCGGGGGCTCAGGGAGCGGCTCAGGGGGCAAGGGCAAAGGAGGCTGCCCAGCTGTGCGGCTGAAAGCACGCTACCAGACGATGAGTATCCTGCCCATGGAGCTGTATAAGGAGTTTGCAGAGTACGTCACCAACCACTACCGGATGCTGTGTGCCGTATTGGAGCCCGCCCTGAATGTCAAGGGCAAGGAGGAGGTTGCCAGTGCACTGGTTCACATTCTGCAGAGTACGGGCAAGGCCAAGGTGAGTGCTGTGCCCCCAGGAATAGGTAACCTGGGAGTAGGCACTCGCTTGGGAGAGGGGGATAGTAAGGATAGGGCACTAATGTCTTCAGAATGAGCTCGGGTTGTACGGAGGCTGACCCTTGGATTTTCCCGGGCCTCAGGACTTCCTTTCAGACATGGCCATGTCCGAGGTAGACCGGTTCATGGAACGGGAGCACCTCATATTCCGCGAGAACACGCTCGCCACTAAAGCCATAGAAGAGTACATGAGACTGATTGGTCAGAAATACCTCAAGGATGCCATCGGTACGACCTAGTCTCAGGTCTTCTTCCCAAACCTGCCACACGTGCCTCGCAACCCTAAACCTGGCTACCCCAGGCCCCAAGTCACCCTTCCTCAGCTTGAATGCCTCCAAGCCTCGAGTCCCCGGACTCCAGCCTCCAACCATGGGATTCCGAGATTCCCCAACCCAGGCAGCCCCCATCCCTGCCCTTGGCAAGTATGACCACCCTCTGTTGTGCCCCCACCCCAGGGGAATTCATCCGTGCTCTGTATGAGTCAGAGGAGAACTGCGAGGTGGACCCTATCAAGTGCACGGCGTCCAGCCTGGCAGAGCACCAGGCCAACCTGCGGATGTGCTGTGAGTTGGCCCTGTGCAAGGTGGTCAACTCCCACTGGTGAGACTGGGAACGCTGGGTGGGGGCCGGGGCTGGGGTCGTGTGTTCATCTGTTCATCCATCTGTCCATCCGCAAAGAGGACTGAATACTGGTTATGGGCGAAGCGGCGTGCTTGGGGCTGTAAGGCAGGCAGACAGAAGATTGAGGCCTGGCCCCTGCCCTTAGAGGGACAGGTTAGATACACAGAAAGCTACGGAACAGTTGTACTGTGTGTTAAGTGCCAAGGAAGGTTCCCTCCCCCCAGGCAACATAAGGCCAGAGAAAGTGGAGGTTTGATTGGGATAAGCTGGGAAGGCTTCGTGAAGGAGGTACCCCCC